CCTGGCTGAGCACAGCTTGCTCCATCCCTAGCCCCAGTTCCTCCACTCCTCCCTCACTGAGGGGGACTTGATCTCCCCCCTACCCCACGCCCCTTCCCCTTCCACCACACCAGACTTATCAACTGCACACAGCTCTTCACTGCCTATGTGCTGTGCTGTGGCTGCACGCATGCATGGGCCATTTATCATCCAAATTATCAGCCATATCAGGCCAATTTCTGATGCAGACAATTTTTTTTTATATCGGTGCCAATTTGATATTAGACCAATGTACTGGTACACCTCTAGTAGATACAAAGCAGCTTAATTTGGGTTTATATTGGTGACTACAACAATCTAATCCCAAACTGTGATGTAATAAGATATTGGACATTAGCAAGAGCTTGAGGAAGGTACTCTTTTTAAATTAAGATAAGAAGGGATAATTATAGCTATTGTTTAGCTTTGGTCTCTATCTAGCTCCCTTCCTTCTTGTTATCTAACAAACATTATAAAAAGGTTAGGCAGAGTACTTCTACAGACTACCAAATTAAATTTGCTCTCCTGAAAGTGGACTAGCTTATTTAAATGGACACTATCAACTTAGATTTAAAAAAAAACGGGTTAATTTGAATTCAGTTTTCTGACAAAAACCCCTTTAAACTGTGCATCCTAAAAAAATCTGTTAAAATATGTTAAAGAATTTTGATATTAAAAATGATCTGGAGTAAGAGGCAGACCATGTGTGGCTTTATCTGTTCCCCTTTTTTTTCTCTAAGAACATTCTTTTCTGGTGAAGAACATGCAACATCAACAAAATAGTGAAACTGAGTATATACACATAGTTAACTTAAGAAAATAGAACTAGCAAACAAGACATAATTTTTCCCCAGTCTCTTTCAATTAGGAATCTTAAGAATTGTTGGTAACACTAGTATAGAGCTGTTTTCAAACTGAAATTTGATTTCCAGTTTGACAGGTTTTCTTCAAGGAAAAGCACAGCACTCTATGCAGCTGGAATGGGCCTGGTTTGTCACCAGTTAATTCATACATGGCACCTTTTTAGAATCAGACAAGAACTTGGTTCCATCTCCACTTTACTTAATATTGGTCAAGTAATAGTAATATCATCAGCAAGTGGATCTTAAATCAAATCCTGTAAGTGACATTGTGTGGGAACACTAAATTTACAGACTGACACAAGCAAAGAACATCAGTCACTGTGCTATGAACTGCTGCTGGTCTGCTGAGACTCTTAAACTGGTCTCAGTTTGATCTTGATTACTTGGTTAATAAAAATCTACTTGTGTTCATTCCAACTGGAACCAAAAGCTATCAAAAAGTTTGGAGTTCTTAGTTCTGAAACTTGAATGGTTCTGAAACAGACTAATCTTCCTTTGACTGTGATCACTTTTTCTGTTGCCTTTGTGGTGTCTCTTTGCGGTGCTTCTTAAGGGTTGCAATTGTATGAAATTTAGAAAATAACATAAGATGCCAGATGTAAGTGATTCCAGAGCAGAAATGTTCCTGCTAACCCTGGAACTATCTGAAGCAGTTACTTATTATCCTGTCCAGTCACTGTTTTTCACCACAGCTTCACAGTGACAGCTGCCATAGCCCCCTACATTGTCCAACTTGCCATCTTGCAGTCTCTTCTGATACTTCAGGTCAGCAGTCCCACACCAAGCAAGAGAATTCTTATTCATTTAAACATCAACAGAAAATACAGCTTGATACTGATATTATTTGATACTGATTATAAATTTGATGCTCTTTTACTCTGTTTAAATACCATTATTTGAAAACAGTGAAGCACATTCTTTGTAAAACATTAAACATGCTTTTTATTACACTATTTAATGACTAGTTATACATGTACTCCTGTGGTTCCCCATCATTACCAGGCACTTTTATTTGGTGCTAAAATAGCATAAACATTAGTGGTTTGCCTTTACAGATAGCGTTTGGGCTTTTGATGCTGCTGATTTGTTAATTCCTGTTTAACTACCTCTCTGTCCGGAGTTCCTCTTCTCTCCCGTGGAGTACATCGACCCACATCAGTGAAAGCAGAAGAATAACTTCCAGGGGACTCCTGGTCTACTGAAAATGAAAAGCAGGTTAATTCTGTCATATTTCTAGCTTTTACTTAAAGGAAACTATATCTAAAAATGTATAACAATGGAGAGTTTGAATCTGAACATAAATATATATTGTGTTCAAATGCAGAACTCAGTGTGTGCAAGCTGTAGGAGCAACATGAGTATTCTGCTCCTTAACTCAATATTGGACTAGGGTTTCAACGAATGGAACCACTAAAGAAAAGGGTATATGATAACTGTATTGAAAATTCAGCAGGGTTTGGAAAAATTTCCTCAAATGAAAACAATGTAAACACATAATTACATGCATGACAGATTTTTAAAAGTATGTTACAATGATTGAATGATGAATAGAATATTTTCTGTGTTATGGTCCAGAATTAATTTCCTCTTTACCCAAGCTGTGTATTAGGTTGCACATAGGAAGTTAGAAGGCTGTTACCATCATAAAACAATTTTATTTTGAGGCAGACTGTGAGAGTGCACCAATCAATACTCACCATTGTGAAAGACGTATTTGCTGTAAAGTACAGTTTAAGATAGGATGCTACCTGCATTTATATATTTTAATATGTTTGACAAAGAGTGTCCTTCAAATAAAAGTCATGCACCCTCCATGATCTTGCAGGCTGCTTGCATAATAGGAAAATAAAGGGAATTATTTCAGGTTCATAAAATTTTGGAGGACTGAATGAACTACCTCCTTTCAGTCCTCAGATTTCCAACTGTATTTTCCTAGTGCCACAATGACATCTGGAAGTGAAGACCGCAAAAATAATATTAATTTCCTTTTGTTCAGTTCACACAATCTGTTCACCCAACCTGTGCCTCTATCAAGAAGTACCAATAGTAAATATACAATTGAAAGCAATCTCTCCACCATTTTGTGGTTAGCTTTCTCTGAGTCTTACAATAAGACAGACTGACTCTAAATGCTTTTTAGTATATTGTGCAGCTACTGTGTAAAGGTTGCAAATGAAAATAAGGGTTGTAAAGTAGTGATAGGGTGGAAAAAGAGCTATCAGTCATTGGTTCTGCCAGCAATTTTGGAACTTGAGCATTCTGGCCCCAGTAGAGGATATTGTCTTCAGACAGGCTGAGGACAGAAGTTACAGATAAACCAATAGCAGAACAGAAGCTCAGTGCACATAAACCAGTATCAAAATGTCTGAAACTGGCTTAAGATAAACCTGACTGAATGTAGTATCAGACTTAACTGATTTGGGTCAGACCAGTTTATGAAACTTCTGTTCCAGACCCCTTCCTGGTTTAAGTTAAATCAGAGTCCCCCAGCTTCCCAGAATGCTTTGCAGCCCTGGGCTGGGCTGTGCTGTGTAGTCTGCTCCAGAGAGCAGGGCTGGCCCTACCCCTCTGCTCCCTAGCTAGAGCAGTGAGGGTTGGCTGACAAGGGGGTGGGGGTGGGAAACATGGCTGGGGACCATGTCCAGGTCTACCAGCAGGGAGGGCAGCCCCTCCTAGACTTTTTCCCACTGGAGCGGAGGGGGCAGAGGGCTTCAGCAGGCAGGTTCAGGTGGAGGGGAGGGAGGAAGGTTTAAACCCCCTCTCCCACCAGCATGGGACCCCAGCCAGGGTCTGCTTGGCAGGGGGTCAGCAGGAGACCAGCAGAGTCCACTCCCTCCCACCTCTGGCAGTGACTCAGGCAACCAAGTTGATACAGGGAGGGGAAGGAGGTATAATTCTCCTCTGCTCCTCCAGGGCATGGGGGGAAGGGGAAGAGGCTGGGGAACCAGGGCTGGAGGAACTGGTCCCCTGCCACCTTGGTGACCACAGGACCAAGCCCTGCAGGACCAGACTGAGAGGTGGAGGGTGCTGGCAAAACCTGGCACAATTATCACATGTACGTGCTGGAGACAGAGCTAAGGGAACAAGAGAGGGTCCCAAAGAAAGCAGAGAACTACATTTAGATTATAAAGCAGAACCTGTACAAGGTGGGAGACTGGAATACCTAAGCACAGACAAAAGATACTGAATGCATGTGTGTCCTGCCAAAGGTGCTATAGGTGAAAAGTACACTAATGTCAAGGCATGCAAGGGGGAGAATGGGGTGCAAGTGCACCTGTAAAACCCAAGTAGAGCTGAGGCCTGTGGGATCTCCACTGCAATGCCTAAAACTACCTGCTGATTCTCCAAGAAGGGCTTTCTGAATACCTGGCTGTAAGGAGACTCTGCCCTCAGGTTTACGTAAGACTTATGCAAGGCTCTCTCTTGTTTTTTTGGTTTATTACATTCTATTTTAAGGTAGACTAAGTTGTGTGTAGCACCCTCCAGCGTGCTAGCCCCAAGCTGGGGCCTGGCCAGCCCCTTCTGCTTGAGCAGGGAGTGGGGAAAAACCTTTGAGCTTCAGTCCCTTCCCTTTGGCAGTGGTTGGCAGGCTGAGAGCCGTGCTCTAGTGCCCCCCAGCTTCTGGCCTGAGCCACTGCAGGCATGTCGCTGCATTTCCTGAATTAAAAGTGAATGTCTGTTCACTTGCTTCTCAGTTTAAGCTCTGCAGCTTAGACTAACCTGCAAAGACTGAATTGGTTCAGTCTTGGGTTTTTTGACTGTCTGTGCTTAACCTCAAATCCTACACACCTGTTACAGAGACTGCTTCCAAGTAATAGGCTGTGTGTGCTATATCTTAAATTGCAGCCAAAAAAGTGGTTGGAATGTTCTGAGTGCATCCCCTGGGCCTTGAGGTAGATTGAATGATGCAGCTCCAGAAAGAACAGCTTCTGTTACTTGAATAAAACTCTTAGCTCAATGTAAACAAATTTTCTGTGATTCTTACACTATAAACTCATGAACTCCTACCCTCCTTG